GGGGGGGGGGCTCTGATCAGTTACTTACAAGAGCCATGAGCAGCTTTCTAGGTTAAGGAAAAGCAGTGGTAGGAAATACATTAATACATTACAGGTAATTTTCCTTCATTTAAATTGTAATCTCCATTTTAGGCAGTGAAATTTTGCTTATCAGGTTGCATTTCAACTCAAAACATCAAAGCAAAATTTTATTGAAAGATATTAAAATTAGTAAACAAATCACTTTGTTTCTTATTGTATTTGGAGTGTATTGTGTATAGTGTATTATTTCTTTTTGTCAAATTAAATACATATCTGAACAAATCAGAGTAAATTTCTAAAAGATGCATAGTTTGTATTTAGGTCACCTGAGCTCTAATCGCTTTCCGTCGTCCGTCGTGTGTAAACTTTTTACATTTTCAACTTCTCAAGAACCATCTATTGTTTTTTTTTCAAACTTGGTCAGAATCATCCTTGGTAGATGAGGCTACACAATTGTAAACTTGGGATTCCTACCCCAACCCCTGGGGCCAGGGCGGGGCCCCAAAGGGAAAATTAACCAATATTTCAAAAATCTTCTTCTTCAGACTCAGAGGTACTACAGTCATTTTCTCTGCATGGAAAGAAAGATCATCAGGGGCTTTACTTAAATTGTAAATTTAAGGACCCCCCAGCTATTCGTTCTCCCTTGGGGAGGGGGTAAAGTTTACTATAGTTTATAAAGGGAAATAGCACTTCTGTGTATATTTTGACAACTTTCTGTAGGAAATTATTTTTACTTGGTGAGAATTATCCTTGGAGGAAGATGATTTCAAATTGTAAAATTGAGATTCCTACCCCAACCCCTGGGGCCAGGGCGGGGCCCCAAAGGGAAAATTAACCAATATTTCAAAAATATTCTTTTCCAGACTCAGAGGTACTTACAGTCATTTTCTCTACATGGATGGAAAGATCATCAGGGGCTTTATTCAGGCACGTAGCTACCATGTACGCCAATAAGCCCGGGCTTGCACATGATTTTGACAAGTATAGGTTCTCATGACATTACTTTTTCTTGCTGATACTATAAAGTGGAGTTTAAGTTTTGAATATATAGTACACATATGTAATTCCTCAGATATGATACAGTGTTAATAGTTAGTACAAAAATGTATGAAGTTTAGAAATGTCCATTGCATTAATGGACAGTTCCAGGCAGAACTAAACTGCTCGATTGAGTAAATTGAGAAACTCACGCCTGGCGCAAACGACTCCGAGTATGGCACAGTGGACACAGACAATCAATGTGTTTGTTTTTATGAAAATATCAATTTGGGGCACTTTCGGCCCCTTTTGCCGGGGCACATTTGGCCACCCCAAATGCAACTGTTATTGTGCCAAGTGACGTCTCTATTGATAACGTCACCCAATTGACCACAAAAATAATATTTTTACGCCGCAAAAATTAAGTATTTTTTTCTTTGTATTCACTGATTTGTTCTGGACTTATTTTTCAACAAAATTTTCATGGGGGAGACCCCCAGACCCCCTTACGGGAAGGGGAAGACCCACTCCCGTACCCTCCCCCTGCTCGCACTTCGGGGGGGGGGGCTGCCTTCGGCAACCCCATATCGGGGCTTACACATGGTAAAGGGGCTAGCTACGCGCCTGTTATTTAAATTGTAAATTTCAGGACCCCGAGCTATTTGTTCTCCCTTGGGGAGGGGGTAAAGTTTACTATAGTTTATATAGGGAAATAACACTTTTGGGTATATTTTGACAACTTTCTGTAGGAAATTATTTTTACTTGGTGAGAATTATCCTTGGAGGTAGATGGTTTCAAATTGTAAAATTGAGATTCCTACCCCGACCCCTGGGGCCAGGGCGGGGCCCCAAAGGGAAAATTAATCAATATTTCAAAAATCTTCTTCTCCAGACTCAGAGGTACTACAGTGATTTTCTCTACGTGGAAAGAAAGATCATCAGGGGCTTTACTTAAATTGTAAATTTCAGGACCCCCGAGCTATCCGTTCTCCCTTGGGGAGGGGGTAAAGTTTACTATAGTTTATATAGGGAAATAACACTTTTGGGTATATATTTTATCCATTTTCAGCAGAAAAATTTCTCAAACTTAGTCAGAATCATCTTTGGTGAATGAGAGTATGACTTTGTAAAATTGGGATTCCTGCCCCATCCCCAGGGGCTAGGGCGGGGCTCCAAAGGGAACATTTACCAATATTTTCAAATTCTTATCCTTTGATGACATGACAAGTATTGTATTTCACTTAGTTTACATGCTGATTTCCACATCACATCTAAACAATAAAATAAAGCTACCAGTACCTATGATATAACTCAGGTGACCGCTATGGCCCTTGGGCGTCTTGTTTATTATAACAGGAAGTAAGGACAGAAAGTAAAATGCAATAGGCCAAACCTGGATATATCAAATCATAGAGAATTATTTATAAGGACATTGGTCATCATAACAAGGGTGGAAAATGAATATGATAACCAGGCAATAGCAAAGTAACAACAGATAATTTGATAAATGTCATATCAAATGTGACAAAACCCCATATACTAAAATCTATCATGTGAAAATGAATGTGTAATAGCTGCTGCTAATGTCTCTTTTAGAAGACCAGGTATAATTATGCAGTATTAGTATAATTTTATGCAGTCATTTATAAATTATGACTTATGTATATATGTGATTATCAATAAGATATTGTGAAGCACTACATGTATATAGTCATAATTATATATAATGATACATGTAATTGTAATTTGGATTCTGCATACCAGGTTTTTGTTACAAATCACTAAATTTATTTTTCCTTTTTTTACAGGAATGTTCTAGGTCATGGATATTAAGCAGAAAACCTTATGTAAGAAGACACCAGGATAGAAACAAAACTCTGGACAATTAAATGTGATTTTTTTTTTAAATACATAGGTCCTGTAAATGTGTTATTAATTTGATACATACAATTCATACTACAATGTACATACTCCAAAGACCAATATTCCTATCTTTGCTTCTTATTCTCTATATTTCAAAAATGTGATTTGATTAAAATCAATGCAAGTTTTCAAAATGTGTTTTATTCATTTTTTTCTCTCCCATTATAAAATGACTAAAATACATAGTAAGTGAACTTAGTAAATATTTTAAAATAACTTTCCAAGAATTTATTTCTCTGTGAATTTTCACTCAGGAATTTTGGTTCAGAATCTGATATTACACTTGTAGTTTATTCTCAAATTCAAGATATGTTTACTTGTGTTATGAATGAGAGTTCACAGAACTACATTGTATTAGATTCCAAAATCTGCATACATGTCCCCCCCCCCTTTTTGGATTCAGCTTGAATATCACATGTACATTTCAACTTTATTTCAAGGGGTTTATAACAGTTCATCATGCATGTGTAACCAGATGCTTTTGTGCTCATTTGAAATGTAAATGGAAAAGATTTTCATAAATTACTTTGTAAGCAGAGGAGCTTTGACCCCCACCACCACCACACACACACACACACACACATTGTAAATGTGCAACCACCTCCCCACCTCCAGGCTCCTCCTCATATTACATGTAGTCTCAGACACTGGGAACTATAATTTTCTCCTCGGATTGAATGTATTTGACTCAGTGCATCTCAAAAAGTGAAAAAAAAATCTATGAAGTAAAAACTTTGTACATTAATGTATATTATTCTTGGGGAGCTGTCTTAGAGATGTGTAACTGGGGATGGTATTCAACCTGGCCTTTAAGCCTTCCAATGTTGATGCCTCCACTACTGATTCTGGTGCAAGATATTATTTTAGTTTGTTACTCTGTCCTGTCTAGATCTAAGCATGGCATGTGATGTCCTCAAGTTCTGCAATCACTTGCTGTGAACTATACTACTGGAACTGCTTTAACAGCCTGTAGATATGCTCTGTGTGGAGTACACACTAAGGGTCTGCAAGAGTGTCATTACACTTCAAAATAGTATATGCATTGTCAGCGACAGGCTTGTTGTAGAATTTCCCAAATGTGGAAGTATTAGTCCAGCCTGCAGTTTTTAAAATGGTATGTTATGGTATGGCTGCTCGTTGGGCTGCTGAAGTTGAAGCCGACCTGGTGCTGTGAGGTGTAAATATAGTCATATTTATGCCTGCATTGGATAACACAGTCTTTATCCACCTGGAAATTGTTGCATGACTAGCAGCAGTATACGGCTTCTGGTAACTGACAAACAATTGAGTAGTGTCAGCACGTAACAGTGTAGTTTTTTCCAAAAATGTCTTGAGCACATTCACAATACATAGTTCTGGGACTGAAAAACTGTTGAGGACAATCTCTTGTTGATGATGTCCTGGCCTTGCATGTTTCAATTTGTCCCCAAATCTGAGTTTAACTGACACATCATCTAGGGTAATATTTCTCAGATCCAACAAATGTAATGACTGGGCTCTCTGACCTGTCAGTAGGGCAAGCAACGTGGCAAGTTTCAAAGTATGATTTTTAAGACTAGAACAGTCATACAGTACTAAAAAATCCAACACACTCTGCGGATCCCATGTGACTGTATTACGCGGTAATGCAGGACGGAGATGGAACACCCCACGTAGAAACCTTTTTACTAATGGGTGATTCCCACATGGTTTGTTGTCAAAGTCAATGAAAGAAGACAATGCTGATTTGGCTGTGTTAAGGGCGCTATAACCAACTCCTCTGGTGAATAAACTGGTCAGAAAATCAAGCACATCCCTCACAGATGGTGACATGGGATCACAAACCCTTTGTTGTGTATAGTTATACCACTGTTGAATGTATATTTGATATTGCTTGAATGTTCCTTCTCTCCATGAGGACAATAATATTAATTCAGTCTCTTTTGAAAGTTCCCACTTTTGGATTGATCTCCGGAAACCCTGCACGCCAGTAGTGTCATCTTGGGAGGCTGCTTCTGATGGGGATGCTGCAGGATCTTCTTGCTGCTGGGTAAAACAAATACACAATCAATCAGACAGTTAACAATCTGGGAGAACCATGCTTGTGTGGTCCAATATGGGGCAACAACAATTGCTTCAGTTTTGTCTAATCTGATTTTTTGTAAGATTTTCCCGTACAAGGAAAATGGAGGAAAAACATATACATATGAATTCCATGGAAATGTAAATGCATCTACTGCTATGGCAAAAGGATCTGGCCTCCAGGTAACATATTTTGAAAGTTGATGATTGAGACGACTGGCAAATAAATCAACATCTGGCATCCCAAATTGCCTAGTTACTTTTTGGAAAGTATGAGTATCTAGTTTCCACTCAGTATGGTCCCCCCCCCCCCCCCCCCCCATGTGTGAAATATATGCAATGGCAGTAGTGTAGTATTGTCAATGTTCAGGCGTATGTAACAGTATCTATCATCACGACATAATGCTAAGCATGAAAATCAGGCTGCTCTGAGCTCCAGAAAATTGATGTGTTGTTTAGCCTCAAATTCTGACCATCTACCCCCAGCTGTTTGTACTATATTTCCTTCAGTATCATACCTCACTCCTCCCCACCCCGTTTTTGATGCATCTGATGCAAGGAAAACGGATGGAGATCCTTGTGAAATCGTGGAGAATGCACTACAATGTTTTGTATCCACCACTGCAGATCATTTTTACTTTCAGCTGAAAGACTCATACTCGCATTATAATTGCCTTTTGATATCTTTAGAGCCATGATCTTGTCATTTTCAAGTGATCTATAATGACAAGGCCCATATTGTACTCCTGGGAGTGTTGATACTAGGACACCATTGCACTGTGCAGTTGATTCAATAGTAGGAGTAGTTTGTTTTCTAAGCAACTTGCACATTTCTTTATTTTTTTCAGATTTTCTAAAGGGTAAGGAAATTCTCATATCAACGGAGTACATTTTGAATCCAAAAGATATTCAATTTCTTTGACTGGTTTAAAAATTGACTTTTCCGGGTGAACAACAAATCCACATTTGATAGACAAAGTCACTGTATCAACCACATTTTTCCTACACTCAGTTTTTGTGTCACCCACCAACAAGGAATCATCAATGTAGGATGTATTTGTGTGGCCTTGTTTTCTCAACTTGGAGAAAAAAAGGCTTGGTTATCTTTGTAAACATACGAGGGGCAGAAGCTAGCACATTGGACATAGCAGTGTATTGATAGATTCTTAGCCACTTCGTGCTGTTTGTTTTTTATACTTTTTTCAGTCTTTTTGGACACCTTTTCATTCGGTCTAGGCTCCATGTTCCCGAGAATTTCGCCTACAAAATCAAATTCTCTGATATTTTCTGGGAATTAAAGATGGCGGCCATACAACCCGCCAAATGGATCACTGAAATGACCAGCCCCTCGGGGCAAAGTCTCGGGAATAATGCGCCTCTATGGTACCCATTCAAATTTACGAAAATCAACAGTTCGTGTTACTCACGATCAAATAATCGCAAAATTAATCGCCGATACTTCTTTGTATAAGAATATAAAGAATAAATGTTCAGAGGAAAAGGGATTCCTTTGAATTTTCTGTAATGAAGGCACGCTATGAATAATGAAGCTGCGCACGCATCTCCCGTGGTTCCGGTACTAACTGAATGAAGACAAAATCCTATTTGGGTCCTGACATTCGCAAAAACCGGAGACGCTGATTGGTGACTTCAGAGCGTTTTATAAATCTCTCAAGTGAGCCCGGTTGCTAATTTCGTTTGTACTGTAAGAACACCCATCGATATTCTTCCGTGGATACAACCATAAATGAATATAATTCCTCCTCAGATTTTTCAATGATTTAATAAAATGATGGTTTGGTGATCAGATTTGGGTACACTGTCGCCTTACACACGGCATGCAATCCTTCAGATACACAGCAGCCTGCCTTTGGAACAATCTACCCAACACATTTTGCACAGCAAATAACTTCACTCACTTCAAATCTTTAATATCCTCCTGGAACGTGCAATATAATATAATATAATAAAATCCTCCTGGAAAGAACACGCATACAAATTCAAGCACTAGTCAGACCAACAGATATCACAACATCAGCTCAGTAACAGACATGACCCACAAACTACAATGGCTAACACTACAAACATGACTCTTTCACACAAGAAAAATGCTGTTTTACAAAATTGTACAACAATAAACCCAACATTTATAATCACACCCGTAGACCCTCCAACCAGACATGCACACCCTTACGCATACAAACACATATCTGCTACAAAGGACACGTACAAATATTCATTCTTTCCACACACAATAACACAATTGAATCTTCTTCCCATAGCAGTAGTGCAATGCACAACACATACCCTATGCAGCCCTTGAAACCCTCATCACACGCTAGAATATATTTCGGCTAAACCTCAACTTATCTAATCACTGTAAATAACCCTCTTTATTCACGCCTCTGACAGATTACCAAGGGCATAATCATCAGCATATTGATGGAGCCCCTGTACCCTAACGAAGAAGAACGGTACACAATGCAAATGTTCAGCCTCCAAATGAAATCTTAACTTTTAAATGTATTTTATCATATCAGTGCTAATTTATTGAATATATCACATGAAATCTGATGTGTTTTTAAATCATGCTAGATGTATTGTTCGAACTACAATGTGTAAAATGTGTCTATACTGATAATAGCTTGAAATCTGAAGTGTTTTATGATTTATATACTGTTTAAGTATATGTATTGCCTAAATGTTAATATATCAAACTTGTCCAAATGTGAACAATCTAATTAAAATTATATCTTCACATCGCTCCCGTTTACTGATATGTCGCGTTGAAGATCTAACAACATCCCGTAGAGGGTCATGTGCAGGCGACCTTTGCATTAACCAATCAGATGAGAGCTTACGCATTTCTGTAAGTGATGATGTAATGATTTCGGAACACACTTGCTATGATAAAAGACCGAGAGGTGTCAAATGAGCATCGAAAATGGCGGCGCCCATGACACCACGCCGTGTCTATCTACTAGACAACGTTTGTACAATTTGTGGATTTTGCTTTGAAATAAGGGAGACTTCCTCTTCTGGTGATGTTGTCGTTAAAACGTTTAACAACCTGAAACTAAAATTAGCCAATGACAGGCTTCGCAATATTCAAACTATCACTGGACCAGACGAAAAAGTGGATTTTGGGCTACGAGGTGGCTGCATTAAATGCTACAGGTCCTGCTTTCTGATTGGTTGAATGAAAGAGTTATGTCGCGTTTTGATTGGCTTGTTATAAATGCGATAATGCATTCATGTTGACCTCTGACGTGACCCTCTATGGGATGTTGTTAGATCTTCAACGCGACATATCAGTAAACGGGAGCGATGTGAAGATGTAATTTTAATTAGATTGAAATGTGAATGTCTTTGTATGTAACATGTATGTTGGTCAAAAGCTCTATAGAGCTTATGTTATTTGTTTTTAAAATGCCAACCGACTTTAAATAAAATTTATCTTATCTTATCTTATCCTGCATTTGGGTATAAGGTAACGTTGGTGCAGGCAAATTCGCCATGCACCCAAATTCGCCACCCTGTGACAAAAATGCCTTTGATGTCATCATACATAAGATGTGATGTAAATAACGTCACCACAGTTTTCAACACAGTAAAAACCTTCAAATATTTTGATACATACATGGTGGTAGGTAAATCTTGTACGCCATTCCCGGTCCCGGACTAAAACCCCGTACCAGGAATATAAAGATCATTTAATATCTCTTTAACGCACTAGTTAATATTTTTTTTAAATAATAAAATAATTTCAAACATTATTTGCTAAATTCAGTTTTTTTTTTTTAATTACCTGGTATCTAATAATTTAGAAATTGACGATAATATGTATTTCAAGAGGGCAAAACTTGTGTTTTGTTTACTCTCGTACCCGTGCTAAGGGGACATCACTCTGTCAAGCTGTTTTTATCAAGTATAACTCTCGGCCATTCTATTAGAATGTCACCAGGCTCTGCGACGAGGACGCAGTAATACATATATAAGAGCCTATTATTTTAAAACTTTATATATATAAGATTAATAATAGTTCACAAAATAAAATTCATGATCATCAATATGGTTGGTTATCATTAGAAAAAAATGGTTATTTTTATAACTAAAAAATGGTTTTATGATTGAAATAATTTTGTTCTTTTTCAAAAGGAATTTTAAGTTTACTCACTACACATTTTAACTTTTAAAAGGATACAAAAAATTATACATATATTTGTCAAAATAAAAAAAAGAAACCATATCATCAAATACATTTGAGATGTGACACCCATCTGCTTCGCAATCAATAAAAATATCAAATGATAAAGAAGTCTTCTTTTTCCTATGCCTACTCATATTTTCCTTGGAAATTTAGTAAAGATCACATTGGAAATATATTCCACAAGATGTTTTCTCATGCAAGTGGTGTCAAACTTTAACTCTTCACTCCCACTAAACCCACTGAAACAAAAATCTACCAAGTGAGCAATAGCAAAAACCCCACAGTCAACCCCGTTGCACATTTGGTAAAACCGTTTTTAAAACTTTTCTATTTTCCCCATATGATGATGACAACTGCATTTCTAAAGAAGCTGACAAATGACCATTCTGTTTCGTATTTCCTATCAAACTATCAAGAATGTATACTTCCCCACTATCTACCTCCTGTACTGACACTACCCAATGGTCCTCACCTGTATGATGAATTTGTGCCGATGCAGCGCTAATTGGTTTCATTTTGAGTGCATAGCCCCACTTATTGTTTGTCAAAATTGGAGCATAACCTGTATCTTGCATTCGGCCTATATTTGGAAACTGTTTCTTTAAATTATCTTGTACGTAACACATGAACTTACCACATAGTTTTTTTTATCAATTAATATATTATTTTATCCTTAAAACTTAGCGCACTTTTACCATTATCCATCCAGATGCGTCTTGTTTCTGCGGGGCTTATTAAGCGACGGTCTGTCATCTGAAAGATCCACTAAAATATCACTTACCTTCGGTTCGTTCTTTTTTGGTAATGAAAGTCTTTTTCTTTGTTTTACCTTAGGACTCAGGTACTTACAGTTGGTTCAGATATACTTACACCATCACTACATTGTATGTCTGCTACTGACTCAACTATAATACTTAGTATTTTGTATCTTCTTTTTCTTCTATTATATTTGATAATCTCTTACGAGTTAAAGAAAGTCTAGACCTAGGTTTTGGTTTTCTTGGAGTACCAATATCAGAAATATCGTGGAGAGGTACTGACTCTAATTTAACTGGAGAAGCCAATGTAGCACTTGGAGTTAACTTAGTTAACTTACTGTCTGGTGCTGGGACTATATCATTCTCCTTTCTATCACATGGTCTCGGTCATTTCTACCTGCTTTCTTGTCTGGTCGCTTTCTTGCATTACGCCTAAGTTGAGCCATATGGAGTTTTCTCTTACCTGCTGTGTCATCTATGCCTATACTTAACTTTGCAGCAATAATATGATAGCATGTACCAATCGATGGACACTGACATTGCTCTTTAGGATGTAACTGAACTGCATACTTATCTCCCTGTGACCCTTCAACTATAAATGTCCTGGCAGATGGAACATGGGTTACCTTGTTATCCCTAAGAGCGGCAACTGCAAAAGACCTTTGTGAAGTTTGTTTACTTACTTGTTGAATATCGGACACTCTACCATTTGCTAAACTAGCTACATCTTCATTGCTTACCTCTTCGTTTAGATCTATATGTTCCATGGAAGTGACTGTGTCTTTGTCATTGATTTTACCGTTAACTAAATCTAAAACATCATCAGGATGACAAACACCATTTGAAAAATGTACATCATCAGGGTCTAGCTGAGCACTTTTATGAATAGCCTTAAGTTTTTAAGTTCCTGTTCCAATTAACTCTCTCTTAATCTCATTGCCATAATATCTCTGGAGATAATAAAATGAAAGAGCTGCAATATCTATAGTAAAACTTCTTTCCAGTTATTCAAAGACTTAATTAAGCTGTTTAAAAGTACTTTGACGTTTGGAAAAAAACTCCCCTGGAGATATTTTTTTATCACTGATTCCCTATCCACAATTATAATTATAATTTGATAACCTTTTGATAAATTTGGAATTAGAGACTTAACAGATCGCCAAAAAAACTCATGAACCCGAGTGGACTTCCTTTCATGAATGAAAAATGCTACAAGAATTGTTTTATTATTTTGAAATAACACGTGTCTAAAGACTAAAGCTGAAACATAAAAAATCTCCTACTTGAAAAGTAGTGTCATATGACATATACAATATCTCATCTGATTCAACCTGAAGTATTAAATTCAACTCGTCCAATAATTCCTTATTTCCCAAAACACATCTAAGCTCTGGACCTACAGCAAAATTAAATGTAAAAACTTGCAGATTATTAAATGAAAAAGAATTAATGAAATAGTTGTATTTAAAAAATTTGTTGATATTTGGTCAGTAGCATGCTTGGATGAAGGGATATCAAGCTTGCTCATTTGAATGACCTTGACCCACTTTCAATGTCACATTTGATCAAATATGTATAAACCTTTAAATGAACTAATCTCAATAAAGAAAAGGTCAAGGGTAGTGATATTTGGCAAGTTGCATCCTGATATGAAGGGCTGTACAGTTTATTCATTGTAAAGACCTTGTTGGACTTTCAAGGTCACAGGGGTCAAATGTTTTAACATCTTATAGTAGGTTCTTTTGAATGTTTTACGGTCATAATCACTGATACTTTGCCTATAGCTTTACTTTAGATCCCTTTAAGGTTACAAGTGTGAGAGTAATACCAGGTGAGTGATGCATGCCCATTGGGCCTCTTGTTGTTGAAGTAAGATTGGATTGTTTATACATATTATTGAAAGAGACATGTTTATGCTTCTATATTTATACAGATTATTGAAAGGGACATTAATCCCAATGTTGATCAATGGGAAGCAGAGGGACAGTTTCCAGCAAAACAAGTTTTCAAAACACTGGGTGATGCTGGCCTTCTGGGGGTAACCAAGCCAACAGGTTATTTTCTTAATATTAACATAATACTGGTGTACATGTGCTAGTCTCATTGGCTGCTCCAATAATTTCCTATTTTACCTTAACTATGCATTTCATGATCATTTTTCCGATACAACCTTATATATATATTGAATGATGATACTATATTTCAACTTTATATATTGAATGATAATAATATTTCCTATACCTTCTTTTTAGGTCACCTGAGCTTTGCTCAAGTGACCTATTCCGATCACATTCCGTCAGTCGTCGTGCGTCGTCTGTCGTGCGTAAACTTGTTACATTTTCAACTTCTCAAGAACCAGGAGATGGAATTTTTTCAAACTAGTTCAGAATCATCCTTGGTAGATGAGGCTACAATTGAAAAATAAGTATTCCTAACCCAACACCTGGGGTCAGGATGGGGCCCCAAAAGGAAAATTAACCAATATTTCAAAAATCTTCTTCTCCAGACTCAGAGGTACTACAGTCATTTTCTCTGCATGGAAAGATCATCAGGGACTTTTAACTTAAATTGTAAATTTCAGGACCCCCGAGCTATATCCGTTCTCCCTTGGGGAGGGGGTAAAGTTTACTAAAGTTTATATAGGGAAATAACACTTTTGGGTATATTTTGACAACTTTCTGTAGGAAATTATTTTTACTTGGTGAGAATTATCCTTGGAGGAAGATGGTTTCAAATTGTAAAATTGAAATTCCTACCCCAACCCTAGGGGCCAGGGCGGGGCCCCAAAGGGAAAATTAACCAATATTTCAAAAAAAATCTCCTCCAGGCTCAGAGGTACGGTACTACAGTAATTTTCTCTGCATGGAAAGAAGGATCATCAGGGGCTTTACTTAAATTGTAAATTTCAGGACCCAGAGCTATATCCTTTACTATAGTTTATATAGAGAAATAACACTTTTGGGTATATTTTATCCATTTTCACCAGAAAATTACTCAAACTTAGTCAGAATCATCTTTGGTGAATGAGAGTATTACTTTGTAAAATTGGGATTCCTGCCCCATCCCCAGGGGCTAGGGCGGGGCTCCAAAGGGAACATTTACCAATATTTTCAAATTCTTATCCTTTGATGACATGACAAGTATTGTATTTCACTTAGTTTACATGCTGATTTCCACATCACATCTAAACAATAAAATAAAGCTACCAGTACCTATAATATAACTCAGGTGACCGCTAAGACCCTTGTGCCTCTTGTTGAATATTTTCATTGCAATTCAATCAAAATGAATTAATTTATGATATATTTCATTTTTGAAGACTGATTTGTATTGCCATGGTGCGGCGTCCGTTGTCCGTCCATCGTCCGTCCGTCCGTCGTCCGCCTGTCCGGCATCAACTTTTTTACTTTAAACAACTTTTCAGTAATCAAAAGGCCTATGATGACGATATTTGGCCAGTAGCATGCTGGCATTAAGGGCTACCAAGAATGATCAAATGAATGACCTTCATCAATTTTCAAGGTCACAGGGGTCAATTATGTTACATTTATTAACAACTTATTCTGAATAACCTAAATGCATAGGGTGATGATTTTTGGCCAGTAGCATGCTGGGATAAAAAGCTACCGAGATTGTTCAAATGAACTGCACTTATAGTCAAGGTAACAGGTGTCAAATATGTTTAAAATCATTAAGTGACTTTTTTTGAATACATTGGAACCCACTTATTATGATATCGGTTATTATGATATATCGGTTATTATGATATTTTTCCCATGTACCGATATTATCCTTCTTTAACTAAGCAAAAAAATATAGTTTATTATGATATAGTCAAAGTTAGGACCCCGCTTATTATGATATTTTTCTGCTGTGAATGGATTTTATAAGGTAAAAACTCAGGTAAGTTGTCTGTGTGAAACACCTGGACAATTACGCAATAGGTCCGGCTAACTGTACATCGCCCGCGAGGTAATCATCTGGCTACTCAAGGTAATTTTTTCACATCTCGCTTCACCCCAGGCAGCGGAAAACAATAGATCGACCATCGCTTGCTGGTCATACGTTTTAGTCTTAACAAAACATTTGGCGAGTTAATTGCTGTAGGACTGTATTTCAAGTTAAAATAATTAGGCCTACCGAACACAAATTCCGATAAGAAAACGAGCATGCCTTTCGCAAATATTCACGGTTACCTTGACACGTCATGTGAGAAAATCATGCCGATTTCAATGAAAATATTACTCCAGAAGGAAGACCTGTGTTTTTAATCATTTAAGCAATAGTTTCTTAATTGCATTAGAAGTTGATTTCCCCGTGTTTCCGTTGAAAAAGTGTCAAATTCGGGACATACCGCCCCGACAGCATGGTGCCGGAAATCGATCAAAAATTTACGTTATTGTCGTAAACAACTTATTTACAATTTACACCATTTTCGTGAAATACAATATTTGATTATTGTTAAAAAGGGAATAATTTGTGTTTTTAATTGATATTGTTTCTTTGCAAGTTGATTTCACCGCACGACTTTCGAGGCATGTGATTGTCACGTGATCGTAATTGACATAGCGCGGCAAAATATGTTTATGCTTACGGGACAAAATGTTACACAACTTCTCGTTGCAAAATAGGTAAATCATGACTATTTATATCCCTTCTTTCATCCTATTGACTGTAACATTACGATATTGTTAGCTACAAGTGTAGGATGTAGTATAAGATAGTTCTTAGGAATATGCTCGAAGTTATTTGAAAGTGAAAGTAGAATTTACATACTGATCATTATGACGGCAAAACGAAAACTTCTCGAATTTTTCCAACACGCTGATACAAATAACAATGAACAAATTATTTCAATTATTAATTCATCTTTTTGTATTTATATTTTTCCATGTTTCAACATCAATTTATGTCTGATTGATATAGGGCATCTCACTGCCAGTTCAGACAACATAAAAACGATCGAAAACAGCTTGATCGATTATTATGATATATCGGTTATTATGATATTTGCCAGAGGCAAATAGGATATCATAATAAGCGGGTTCCACTGTATACCAAAGAACCAGCAATCCCTTTTCTATTTGCTATAAAGAACGTTAGAGTATTAAAGTTCTATTGCAAGAATAATTACATCAAATATATTTTGGTGAGTTGTATGTATTTTTTAATGATATTTTTCATCTACATGTGAATCATGTTTTCCTGTCTATTCAGAAGTATTGGCTTACTCATTTGAAAAAAAATCCAGGACCCCACCAGCGTCATGATATAAGGGTTTGAGCCTTTTTGTCCTCAAAAAGTAGCGGTTAGAGACTATCCTGTTTTCAAAATATAGGGGTTTGGAACTTATAACTATGTGATTTTTATGTCCTCAGAGTATGGGGGTTTAGGGCTGGACTATACCTACAGCGTGGCAGTTGCTGAGGAGCTAGGTACCATCAATTGTGGGGGAATACCCATGGCAATAGGTGTACAAACAGACATGGCTACTCCTGCTCTAGCAAGGTACATAGAGCTCCACCCTCTTTTTGTATTGTTTTGTTAGTCCACAACCTGTAAATTATCACAAGTGGTATTTAGAACATAGCTTTGATTTACTGGTATTCAAAAGACACAATTTGGTTTGAAAAATTCACTTAATGTAGAATGAATTTATTGAAACTCTGATGATTACACCCGAAATATCTATCATTTAATAATAATATACAACATTTAAATAGCACTCTATATAGTATGTAAAATTACCCTAAAGCGTTTTACAACACTTGAATAATAATATTTTAAGTGATAAAAGATAAAAAGTAAGAAAAATAAGGCATACAAATCACCATTATACATTAAGTAATATAAGAAGACAATTATCTAAATCTGCATATAAGTAAATATATAAAAGGTGGTGTGTACATGACGTCTGTGCAAAAGAGCTTAAAATGTAGACGTGAAGAGGTGGGTTTTTATTTCATTGAATTTGGCCAAGGCTTTTGACTTACTGATAGCAGATGGTTGAAGCCATTCCACAACGTTGCAAAACCCTCCTAAAGCACCGCAGTGATCAAGACGGCTGATACGGGGTAACAAGCTCCTGTAAATACTGGGGAGCTGTTCCATTCAATGCCTTGTATGTGTACACCAAAATTTTGTACTGCGACCTTGATCGTTCAGGCAACCAGTGCAATGAATATAGCACCGGTGTGATGTGCTCTCAGTTTCAGGCATGAGTAACCATATGTGCTGCAGTGTTCTGGACCATCTGCAGACGTCTAGTGAGTTTGTCAGATATACCACAGAGCAGGGCATTATCATAGTCCAACAGAGAAGTAACAAGTGAATGCACCAAAATCTTGTATGCATCTGCAGTTATAAACTGCCTGATACAGCCGGTGTTCCTGATCTGGCAGTAACAGGATCTGGAAATAGCGTTTACCTGTTTCTCCACGTTCAGTGAACTATCAAAGTATACCCATAGGTTTTTAACTGCTGGGACAGTCTTAATAGTTCTGAGCCAGAACTATTAAGGCTGTGTTCAACTTCCTTGAGCTGTTGTCTGCTGGCACTTTGGATAAAAGACGATAAGTCCTGTCTTTTCTTGATCAAGCTTAGCATGTTGGAGTTCATCCAGGTATCAATGTTTGTCAGAGACAAGCTTCCAGATTTTCTGATATGGTATCCCAGCTGTTCTGTGGTTTGATGACCATGGACATTTAGCGAAGGCTATGGCGACGAGAAATCTCTCTGAATATGGGCAATATTTTCAAGGTCCTAACACCGACCATTAAGGAACCCCAAAACCTAGTATTTTGTCATGTGAAGTGGTAGATCATATGGCAACACACTGTCGTTATTCAGTCGCCAGGTACTGGCCATAGGTTGTGTTTGTTCTCCAGAAACTACAGCTTTTCTCCACCACCAAAACCTGGCAAGTCCTTAAATGGCCTTAACTTTTAATAGGACGTAAAACACAAACAACCAAACAAAATCATGACTCGGATTGCGAGGTCTTGATGATATTGTGCAACTCGTCCTGGGTTGTTGATGAGAGCTTTGTCAAAGGTTCCCTATCAAATTTAATGTCAGCACTCATGACATAAATATCATTGTGAGCAGTAGAGTTCACTTCACCCATATTTTTCCTGATTGTGCTGATTTTATTCAGAAAGTAATTGCTGGACTTATTTGACAAGTCTTTTTTAGAAGTAGTCAGCTTAGTTAAGATGATTTCGCATTTCAGATCCATTAGGTTTTTGGTGAGACTAAATGGCTGCCCATTGTCCTTACCACATTTTTGATTCTTTCTGAATGATAATGAAGCCTTTTTGGATTGAATGAAAAGTGACCAAACTAGTAGGCAATTCCCCTATAAATCTGTTGGTGAACAGTGAAGTAATAGTCCTTTGCCACCGTGTCTCTCCGCTTTTCTGTGGTTCTGTATTTTCCATGCAGAGATTTTCATTATACAATGTGGGATTTGGTCTCAGAGTTATCACCTTAGTCTGTAGAGGTACATATTTCTCTATGAGATCTTCTATAGCAGATGTGTTGCTTCAACAATATCACCAACCCTGCCTTTTGTAGATTGAAGGACAGAAGAAGATCTAGACTGAATGTCATTGTTGAAATCTGGTATGGAAATTTCACAGAATTTATGGAAGCTCACCTCCATTCTTTGCATGATCTGGCCTGCTACAATTCAGCATTGCTTGGACAGCAAGGTGATCACCAGATTGGTTCCCCTTAACATCACTTAGACATGGATCCATCACTGAAATTGCACCTTGAATGGCCAAATTATCTTCCCTTGTAATGACCACATCTAGTGTACCTGTGTGGCCATGAGTGTGCAGCTCATGCTGTATCAGTCCCCTGGAATCGAGTAGTCCAGAGAACTGATGAGCATCAACATTAGATAGATTGTCTAAGTAGAAATTTAGGTTGCCTGTAATAATAATCTAGTTAATAGTCCTTTATAGGAAAGGGTCACACATTTTGATCATTGTTTTGTTTACCCATGAAATCAGCAAAATTATCAACAACTTTCTTTTGGCTCAAATTTATTTAAAGCATTGTATAGAACAGATTGAAATATGCCATTTAAATATTATTATTTTGTCAGGCTGAGGTTATTTTGATAATATTTTTTTAGAATAGACATTTTTAGATTTTGTCATTTAGTTTCTCCTACATAAAAAAAAATAAAATAATATGTCATGTTAAAAACATAAAGTAGCATCAATTTCAATGATATTTGTTTTAATATTATTATGATAAAGAATCTAGATTGTATGATTATTTATTTACTTAATAAGTTCATGAGATGAAATCTTTCCAAATATGTTGTTCAGTTGAATTGACAGATGTCAAACTATTTTACAAATTTGATATAGTTTTAATCCTTTAACAGTGCAAGTTAAAAAGCATTCAATTGAGATTAAAAAAAAAATGTTTATGTTTTTCTGGTTTAGAGATCTTCCCTATCTCTTCCTTCTACTGTTTCTAAGGAATTCCTTCTACTGTTTCTAAGGAAGTGCCGACATTTTAGTTTGTCCTTGCTTGGTAACGAATATGGGTCTCGCTGGGTATAAAAAGCGCATTACCCGTCAAACCGGTTATCATTATCACTATTGTACGTGTACAGTACCTGCATACTTCTCATATCATCTCATAACTCATTTCATCTCACTGAAGTATAATCAACACTTTTAGTATAGTAATTAGTGCCTAGTATTAGGACTAGGGGGGACGGACACTTAGTGGTGTAACATATTGTACGGCACACCTTACTAGTCCATTCCCCTGAAGCCCTGCCTTCCATATTTGTCTAAATAATTTCCTATAAATAAGGGGAGGGGGGAGGGTTCGTGTTACTGCTGCGTCAGACAACACGAACAATCAATTAAAATATTATGTTTTTTTCAATATCATATAGGATTTTTATTAGGAATAACACTTTAAGCCTTTCAGTAGGATATTTGATTAGTTAGAATATAGGGCTAAATAGCTATAGTTAACACTGAGTGCCACTGCTGGTGGTTAGCAAATGATGCCAGCCCGATATGAGTGCAACTAAATATTATACATATATGTTCCAATTCTTAAATCTTCAATGTGGTGCACTTGGGTATTGAAATTCGTAAATCGTGTAACGGGAGAGGTACAACTTGTCGGTGGGGATAGGCCCAACCACTATCGCACTTCTAACACCGTTATAAACATCCGTGTACATTGTATAACTATCACAATTACAACCCCGCTAGGTTAGCATAACCAAATAGTGGGGGCGGAGTCACATGATCCCTTAGCTGCGTGCTAGGTCTAGACTGCTACGTCACACTCGTGCAGAGTTCTGGAGGGTGACCCTGACCTCTGTGTATTATATCTTTCAGTAATACATGTTATGGAATCTAGTGAATCTCTTATAAATGTCCCATATTGGCAATAGCAGCTTTCTCTTTTATTTAATGTGTATTACTATGATTGCACTTATGTCAGGAGAAGTGGTACTTTAGTGTTAAAGAATTTACTTATTTTTTTTCAGGGATTAGTCTACTAAAACTTTATATGTACATCAACTCCATTCCCTAAGAAAGGAGTCGATTATAATACGTTCAAGGATATTTTTGTACGATATAACCACTAACACTCCTTGAACCAGCTTGTATTTACACTGACCAATTTTATTTTTTTCATATTTGGTCTAACAGTAAGAGGTTTGTAACTCTGTAGTAGACAAAGGGAGTTAACCCCTATACCGTCCAGGACACTCAAGGGCTTGACCCGCCTGGTAACCTAATCTTCGTACATTTCTTAGTACGAAGCAAATAAAAGATACTATTCAAAGTTTCTTCATTTAGAAAACTTATCTCGTGGCAGGAGATATAGTTAACAAAACTGGTCAATTTTATACTGGTAAACTTCTACTTCATCATATTCACCTCCATCTTCATCTTCATCTCCATCCCCATATACATTAGTTGTAAACTATACAACCTCTCCTATTATCTGCATATAATAAACCTTTTTATCGTAATACCAACTAAATTATAGAAAACATATTTACCCCTTTTTTACCCCTTTTTGATATAACTGCATATTCTTAATATTATAGAGTCTCTCCCCCCCCC